GCAACAATAACACCTCTTTCCATATTTCTGGCATAGATGGTCAGAATTTACTCTGTTTCTTTTTCTTCTTTAGCAGATGTTTAGGTCGTGTCGCTTAAGGAGGTCATTTGTTGTCTGCTATGCAAGAGAAAGCTAATTTTCTGACATGGTCCTTGTGCTGGGGATGGCTGCCACATCAATGTTCCTCTAATGCTCGTTTTTGTTGGGCTGTTATAGATTCATAGTCGTGAATGTGATCCCAGCATTAATAGACTTTGTGATATTAAAATCCTTGAATATCATAGTTATCTCTTGCCAGCATATAAAAAGAATGCCTTTACACACTGATGCCAGTGTGCCACTCCCCAGTGTTTTTATGCATAGTTTTTTTTACATGTGGAGACCATGATCAAAGACATTTTAAAATGGGTTCTGCAGCCGTGCAACAAACGCTTCTGCCAACTGCAGTCTCATTGAAGGAAACCAAGCAAGCAAGTCATCTTGTCTTGGTGGTCTTTTATTTTTTATTTACATTCTCCAGCTCACGTTCCCACTCTGAAGAAGTTCAAGCTGCACACTCGTCTCATCTTGCAGCAAAGTCCTTTACATGTTTTTTTGTTTACACACCTGACACACACATTTTAAAAAAAACTTTCCCCTTGTCCCACCTGAATGGAGGAACAGATTCATGTCTCCCTCTCTCTGACTTCTCCTCCTCTCTTTACTTACCTCCTCTTTTGATCGCTTCTCCATTTCTCGGTGAACTACGTTCTCGACATCAAAGCACCAATATGCCTTTCTTCTGTCCGGGATGCTTGAGCTGTTATGAAAAAGCTGCGGTGGGAGCATAACAACAGTAGCTCAGAGCATTGCTTATGCATCTGATAAGGCTATCAAAGCACAGCATCACATGGTGTGTTCGCTTTGTTTGTTGTAACCATAGAAAACAATAGAGGGCTTCCATACTGACAGCCCTCGTGGTAATTTTTGTTTCTGTGGACATCAGCCTTCAGCAGGGAGCAAACCCTGTAATCTCTCTGTCTCTGCAAGAAAACAATACATGAGATTTATTACACATCTCTTTGCACCAACTCCTCGGGATGACCTCAAGTCAACAGGCTGCTGGTTTAACTGATCCTGATGTCAGAAGGAGTGTCCTGCTGCTTTTGTGCGAAGACGGAAGGCGAGAGAGAGGGTGGGAAACAAGGGAGCTGGCAGTTTGTAGATGCATAGAGACTGCAAACATGTAGGATAGCATGGTGGGTGTGCTATGCGAGGAATGCCGGCTCATGTTGTAACTAGAACTCTTGAAAGGCCTTGTTCTTTCCATACCACTGGAGCAGCTTGAACCCCGTTTTGGCAAGGAGCCCAACGCCCAGCCCTTCTATCTGTCTCATTATCAATGTGCCTTTTTGTGCCTTCAGGCTCTGTTTTTTTGCATGTGAGTCTTCAGCAGCTCTGCAACAGGCATACACCTTAACTCCATTGGACTGCTGTGCAATGAATACATCAAATATAAAGCATGACTGTACCCACTCTGAGCATATTAGTGTTTGTGTTTTGGTAAAGAATTTCCTCCAAAAGCAGCTGCAGGGCACCAATGGCTCCACTGAATTGATTATCTAACCATGGAACTGAGAATGCCTTCTTTATCCGCTGAGGTCTGGAAGAAATGATAGACACTCTGTAAGAAGTCCCTTGAAAATCATAGAGTTTTATCCTGTAAATGTTGGCATACTCAAGAATATCAATAACAAATATCAAATTTTACTACTGGTTACGTGACAGGAATATATCACCATGCTACTAAAAACTGTCTTTGTGCTTTTATCGATGGTTTCATAAGTTTTTATACAAGGAAAACTCAAGTGCAATGGAAATCAGAATATTTTTCCCTCTACGACTTTTATGAGCTGAAAAATAACATCAATAAACCAGAAAGAAAAACAGAATAGAATATTTAATCGTGGCTCCAGTGGGAGCCTAATTATATGCTATAAATTCACAAATTGCTTCATATTCTGTTCTACGCAGCTTTTTCACAGCAAATCCTTTTACTATTAAGTATTCCCTTTGCTGATGTAATCCACTTTTCTTTCCCACAAGTTTTATGCATGTGTTTCTGTTTATTACAGATGTGGTCTCATTTTCACATTTCTGGCAGTCCTTCCGATAGATAATAATAGCTTTGCTCGACTAAGTTAATATCTGGGATCTTGGTAGCAGCAATGTGGCTAACAGGAAGTCAGATATACAAGGAGACACAAGCAGCCAGATTATCAGACAAGTTTTAAACTTCCAGCTGAGTCAAATGTATTTGGGAAAGAGGGATCGTAATTTACCATCATATCTATCATAACTAATAGAAATGATCGCCAAAACTTTAAAACCCAAATTGTAATTAAAGTTATTCTTTCTAAGCTTTAACTCGTAATCAAATTTTAGGTAAATTCTGTGAAATTTTGCTGCTTTGTATCCCAGTTGTATTAATATTAATACTAATATTTAGCATCTTTTTCTGCCTGGGTGATAAATTTCCATCAGTGCCACCATCATTCTGTTACCTTTAAGGCAGAAGGAGGACTTTTTGCCAGTGTGAAGAGAATTTCCACATCCTAATAGTATTGGCTTTTGTTCAAGTGTCTTAGTATCTAATGGTATCATAGAACTCATTTTCTAGACAAGAACACCAGTTCTGGACATTTTTCCAAAATCCAGGTATATCCATTCTGTGTTTTTTCCTGTATGTTCAATGTTGTTTTTCTCAAGCTTGGTGATGTGGTAAGCACACACACAGGAAGAATATTAAGTGGCTGAGCTAACAAGATTGCAACAAGTCAGTTTTCAGTCTCATTCTGTAACTATTCATTCATCCATCCATTATCTATACACTGCTACATGGGGGCACTGGAGTCTATCCCAGCTAACTCAGGGTGAAGGCAGGGGACACCCTGGACAGGTCGGCAGTCTATTGCAGGGCTACACTTAGAGACAGACACTCAAGCACACTCACATTCACACCTACAGACAATTTAGAATCACCGATTAACCTCAACATGTTTTTGGACCTTGTGGGAGGAAGCAGGAGAACCCTGAGAGAACCCACGCTACACGGGGAGAACATCCAAACTCCACGCAGAAAGATCCCAGGCGTCCTCCCTGGGATGCGAACCAGGGATCTTCTGTTTAGATGCCATTTTGGCAAAGCCCAACGTCCAACCCCTCTGTCTGTCTAATTATTTAATGCCATTGTGTACATTTGTGTTTGTTCAGCCTCCTGATTTTGTGTTTTTGTCTGAAGGTCTACTTTAGCTTGCCAACACAAAATCTCACTTGTTTAAAAAATGCCATTGACCACTGTATCATAACTGTCTGAAGACAACCAGTTTCTGCCTGACAGAGAACCTCAAATATAAGTGAATGGTGCAACAAGCTATTATGCTCTTAGTTAATATTGCTAAGTCAGAGATCCCCAAAGGTCAATGTCAAATAAAAAGCCATATGACTCGTAAGCAAATCCACAGATCACAGCAATTTTAGTGGAATGCATTCAATTTGTACACGCCTTACGGAAAATAAGCTAGGAAAAATCTAATGCAAAATGGTTGAAGTATGGTTGGGGTTAGGCAATTATAAAACTTTGTAAAGATTTGGAATGGATTTCCAGCATGGACACAACATGGTCCCCTGTATATAAGTCGAAGCTCTACACACCTGTCAGCCACTTTGAACTCCACATTTTGTGTGTGAGGTGTGCAATCGTGAAATTCTTCGATTCTGATCAGACAGTTGCCTGCTATAAATGAAAACACAATCTCTTCTTTCTTCTTACTGTACTGCAAACTTTCTTTTTCTCTTCCTGTCTTTCTGTCTGCCCCCCTGAGACACATGCACACACACACACACACACACACACACACACACACACACACACTTATGTGATTTTCCACACCTCTGTGGGAGAAAACAGTGAGGGAGATTGACTGTGATGAATGGCGCTGTATTTAGAGGCCTTGGCAGTCTGGTTCCTGTGTGGGTCTCAGTAGACAGTGGGGCCTTTACAGTGGATCTCTGCTGTAGGACGTCAAAGGATATTTAGCTGTGCGAGGAAAGTTTCCCCTCCTCATTAGCGGCTTGGGATGAATGTATGAGAAAGAGACAGACACACATTTAAAGTCAGGGAGTCTAGTTTGATGAAATTCGAAATGAGACTTTAAGGGTTGAGTAGAGAATTGGGATGGTGACCAGAGTTGAGTGGAGTTGGATACTAGAGAAAAGAGAATTATGCAGGTAGAAGTTTAATGTCACAATAAAAGATCTGACTTTGATACTTTGGATTTAAAAAGAAATTATTTAACAATGCTTGCACTGAAAATCTTGGGCAGCTTCGTAGCCGTCGACATGGAACTACTGGAACCAGTGTGTCAAACAGTTTGGCCAACTGGTTCTCAATTTGAAAAGTATACTTTAAAAATAGAAAATCAAGAATATCAGTTGTAAGTACATTTTTAGAGATCTTGGATTTTGTGGCAACACATGCAGAAGCAGGACAAGAGAAAGAGAGTGGATGACTACAGTATGCTCCCTGTTGGAATATAGAATGAGAGAATGAAGTAAGACATGGGACAAGTAGCAGTGTGTCTCGTCCAAGGTAAGTGAAAAGAACTTGTTCAGTCTTGCTATCTGACTTGTGCTATTTTCTTATGCTGCTGTGAAAAAAGAAATATATGTATGTTTTATCATGCCGTGTCTGTATTTAATAGCTGTCACTCTCAATTCCAAAGAACCATGATAGGATATCAGTTTAAGGCAGGTATCAGATGTGCTGAGGGCAGCAGGGGATGTGGAAAACATCCTGTTGGGACTGTCAAGCTGTTTGATGGAAGTAGCGATGATGGAGGGACGTGCAGGGAAAAAAAACCCACTGAAAACACACCGAGGGTTGGAGGGATTTCTGGAGAGCTGTGACAAGAAAACAAATATGTCACCAAATACTAATTGTCTTTTTCCGCTTTTTCCAGAGTTGCTGGGCTCCACCAAGAGACTCAACATCAACTACCAAGACCCAGATGGGTAAGAGGAGTGCATGTGTGTACCTGCCTGTGGTGTGTCTAAGCCTGTGCAATAAGCATGAGGCTGACTCAGGAGAATGCAATGGAAGAGTCACTGTCTTGATTGACGTGCAAATTGAAAAAAGAAAAAAAAAAACATCTCTACCTGTGGCTGTCTCCTGTTTGTCTTATGTCTTCAGTGTGACTCACAATCAAATCACACACATGTACTGACATATAGCATGTGTCAGAATTATTATCTCACGCTTGCAGAAGTATACAATTGCGAAACATGAAGTTTGTTTAGTCCATATTATGTCACATATTAGAATTAGTGATTACATATACAATGCTGTGAAAAAGTGTTTGCCCCCTTCTCAAATTCTTATTTTTTTGCATATCTTCCCCACTTTAATGTTTAAGATCATTAAACGAATGTAAATATCAGACAAAGATAACCCAAGTAAACACAAAATACAGTTTTTAAATCATGGTTTTATTTATTAAGGAAAAAAACTATTCAAAGCTACTTGGCCCTGTGTGAAAAGTAATTGCCCCCTAAACCTAATAACTGGTTGGGCCACCCTCAGCAGCAACAACTGATATCAAGCGTTTTCTATAATTGGCAATGAGTCTCTGTGGAAATATTTTGG